ATATCTATTCTCAGAGGGGATTGTATTCAGGTAAGGAGACATAAAGTTAGAGTTGGTGGTTAATTTTGATCCATTCTCAGAGGGGATTGTATTCAGGTAAGGAGACGTAGAGTTGGAGTTGGTGGATAGTTTAGATGCATTCTCAGAGGGGATTGTATTCAGATAAGGAGACGTAGAGTTGGAGTTGGTGGTTAATTTTGATCCATTCTCAAAGGGAATTGCATTCAGGAAGGAGACGTAGAGTTGGAGTTGGTGGATAGTTTAGATCCATTCTCAAAGGGTATTGTATTCAGGTTAGGAGACGTAGACTTTGAGTTGGTGGATAGTTTAGGTCTTTTCTCAGAGGGGATTGTATTCAGGTTAGGAGTCGCAGAGTTGGAGTTGGTGGATAGTTTAGATCTATTCTCAGAGGGTATTGTATTCAGGTAAGGAGACATAGAGTTGGAGTTGGTGGATAGTTTAGATCCATTCTCAGAGGGGATTGTATTCAGGTAAGGAGACGTAGAGTTGGTGGATAGTTTAGATCCATTCTCAGAAGGAATTGTTTTCCGGTAAAGAGACATAGATTTGGAGTTGGTGGATAGTTTAGATCCATTCTCAGAGGGGATTGTATTCAGGTTAGGAGACGTAGAGTTGGAGTTGGTGGATAGTTTAGATCCATTCTCAGAGGGGATTGTATTCAGGTAAGGAGACGTAGAGTTTGAGTTGGTGGATAGTTTAGATCCATTCTCAAAGGGTATTGTATTCAGGTTAGGAGACGTAGAGTTGGAGTTGGTGGATAGTTTAGATCCATTCTCAGAGGGGATTGTATTCAGGTAAGGAGACGTAGAGTTTGAGTTGGTGGATAGTTTAGATCCATTCTCAGAGGGGATTGTATTCAGGTAATTTCAAAGGTACTGAAATTTTAAAACAGCTAGAAGAATTCACAAGGGCAGTGGGTAGCTTTTCTAGTCATACAGTTAGACACATTGAATGAAGTAAGTGAATTACCAAGCAACTTTCAAATTGACAGAGCAATAACTGCTGTTGCTGCCTGCTGTTAAAAGTTGCTGACATCCTTTCCGAACATCGTTCAGAGCAGGAATACAACATAATTACTGTCACAGTGATGGCATGACTCAGTAGTAAGGGAGCATCTGGTCTTGTACAACAAATAATGGTAAAAGGTTTGCAGTGGTGTCAGACCAATTACACAATTATGTTGGCAATTTAAGGCACTTGAAGAGTAAACTGAACGCATCAA